GAGAGAATTGTGCTGACAGCCCCACGTTTGACTTTGAAGGAATGGCCTGGGATGGTGTCCTCACCCATCAGGCAAAATGTCCTTGGTCCTCCGGATCCTCATCATGGCATGATTTGAGTTTAACTGGGAAAAGATCAAATATCTTTTGTCTCCAGATCAGCGGGTACTTTTCCAGTTTCCCTCTGGAATTCTCTAGTTCTTTCCTCACTCCTTCCATAAAACTGGTTCCCAGTCTCAGTGACTCTATGTCCACTCAGAACTCCCACATAGACCCTACTCCTTTCTCTAAAAGGTGGATAAAAAACCCCATGACTCACCCCTCCACACATCCTGGGACTTCATGGGGAACTCCAAATTGTCTTTTACAACATAAGAGGGGAAAATTTTCCTTGTGGAAAGTATTCTATTACAAATCAATGTATCTGCCCCCACACTTTAGGATTATAACTAGATAAACCCCAAACGGTTAGGAGTATCATCCTTTTCTGAAGCACATTCATGAACATTCCCTTCTTTAATAGTTACAACTACCATGCAACACGTCTTTTGACCCATTTTACAGATGAGGAAACAGAAATCCCAGAAGGAGAAATCAATCACTTGCCTGTAGTTATAAAAGCCAGAGCTCAGGCAAGAGCCTGAGGAGCTCACGCTCAGTCCAGGACCCTCTTCACTCTAGCAGGCTGCCTCCTGTCATGTCCACCTTTCTGCAGTGTGACACTGGGTGGAGGCTGCCTCCTGCCTCAAAGGGCATGATCCCTCAGGGAGGAAGCAGACTCTTGGAGCACTATGACGTCCCCCTGTGCATTTCTCCCCTCTGCTCCCACCCAGCCAGCCGTGGTCCTGTCATGGCTCCAAGTGTGATATGGACACCAGGACAGCTGGTGAAAGCATTATGAGGGGAGATGCGGAGGCTCTTGTCAGCCAAGGACCTTGGATAGCCTCAGTGCCATCAGGGCATGTGGCTGCCTTACCTGGGCTAAGCTTGCGGACAAGGCGTTCTGCCAGCCTGCATCCCTCAGCCAGTTGTTCTCGGAAGCCCTGTCCCCAGTCTCTGCCAATGTCACTGTGGGTGAGGAGGTCCCTGAGGTGCTGATGGAGGAGGACAGAGACCTTTCTTCCTTCCCGTGATGTCTGGCGTATCTGGGTCAGATTTCCTGCATGATCATGAATTAGGAAATGGTATTTCCTAAGGCACGAGGGAAGAGAAATCCTCAGAGTGGAAATGGGGTAATGAGAGATGATAAGGAGTTTGAGAGAGATTTCAGTGAGAATATCCCCAAAAGGCCTTGCAAGTAGAAATCTGCTCATGTTTGCTGGGCCACATTTTTTCTTCTTTCCTTTTGCATTTTATACACTGTGACCCAGTAAAAACATGCTCCTGAGACACTGGAGACTCTAAGAGATCTTGTAACTTCTAGGCCTCCTTCTCTAAAGGTTGAGACAAAATATGAATTTTTATTTAGTCTGGTGACTTTCCTTGTCATGAAATACCTGCCAATAAGCTCAGGCCCACATGCAGAGAGCAGGTATGGCCTTACTCTGAGTTTTGACCCTCCAGAGGAGAAGAAGTCATCTCTGAAGGGGCAGGACGTCTCTAGGCCTGGTTACCTCACTGTGAGTGAGACAGACTCCACATGCTGCAAAGAACATGGACGACCAGTTGCGGGGAGTGGAGGAGACCAGCATAATCAGCCAGTTTCATGCCTCCTTGCTTCAGGCAAGTAGCTACTTTTGACCTCTGCATCTGTTCTTTCCAGAACCCTCTCTGCATTTGACTTGTACATTACCCTCCTCTGATCCTTCAGTTACCTGGGGGTCAGTGATCCCAGTTGTTCTTCAGCCTCCTCTTAATGGATTTCTGCAAAGAAATTGAGAAAAGTCCATTTAGACATTAGCTAGTTCCACTTCACCCGTTACAAATACAGGTGCCTCTCTGGGCCTGGAGACACGAATTATCTCTACATGAGTTCAGAAAGGTGTCATGTTTTGTCTGTAAGGAAATGGGCTGCCATGGTATTCTGATCGATCAGGCAAAGTGGCCCTGATCTGATGGATCCCAGAATGGCATGCTCTGGGTTGAATTGGGCAAGGAGCTAAAAATTGATTTTTTTACCCAGATCAAGAGATGCTTCTCCAGCTTTCCTAGGGGCTCCTCCCACTCTCTCCTCCCTCCTGCCACAAGGCTGGTTCCCAAGCTCAGTGACTCTGTGTCTCATCATGCCTTTCACAGAGAACCTCCTCCTTTCTCTCAGGAGAGGAAAAGCAATTCTGTCCCACGCGTCTCACATGACTTGGACCTTCGTGGGGACTTCCACATCTGCGTCTACTGTTCACCAGGAAAATTCTCTCCTCGTTAAGTGCTAAGTATTCTAGAGTAAACCCACATCCTACTACCAGATTCGACCATACCCAGTACAGAAATCAACCCCAGTGAGTAACTTTAGCATTGTGAAGGTACACTCATCGACATTCCCGATTGGAATGCTACAGCTAGCATGCAACACATGTGTTAATCACGTTAGAGATGAAGAAACTGAAATCCAGGAAGGATACATCCATCCCTCGCCCACTGTTAGAAAAGACAGAACTGAGGCTGGAGCCTGGGAACGTCCATGCTTAGCTCAGGGCCGTTTTCAGCCTAACTAGCTGCCTCCTATCATGTCTGCCTTTCTGTGCTCTAACACTGGGTGGAGGCTGCCCCCTGTCCCAAGGGCCATGGCCCATCATGGAGGAAGCAGGAACTTGGAACACTATCACCTCCACCTTGTACATTTCTCCTCTCTGTCCTCCCACCCAGCTGCTCCTTGTCCTGTCATGACCCCAAGCGTGATGTGGAAACCAGGACAGATGGCAAAAACATTATGAGGGGAGAAGTGGAGGCTCTTGTGAGCCAGGGACCTTGGAGGGCTTAGCACAATCAGGGCCTGTGGCTGCCTTACCTGGGCTGAGCTTGCTGACAAGGGCCTGGGACAGCTTGCATCCCTCAGCCAATTGCTCTTGGAAGGCCTGTCCCCGGAGGTTGTTAAGGTCACTTCAGCCCAGGAGGTCACTGAGGTTCTGATTAAGCAGGATGGACAGGTTTCTTCCTTCCCATGTCTTTAGGTGTAACTGGGTCAGCTCTCATGCCTGAACTCCAATTAGAAAATCAAACTCCCTATGGTGCGTTAGAAGGGAAAATGTATAATTGGAATTGCGTCAAATGTTCTTAGGACCTCCAGAGAGGTTTCTATGAGAACATCGCCCATTTGCCTTCAAAACAGAATTTTGGGACATGTTTGGCAAATGCATAAATATTTTTGAAAGTTACATCAGCGGCCAGGCAATACCAGTTCCTGAGGCATTGCCGACTCCAGCGTTCTTGTACCTTCTAGGCCACCATCTCTCAGTATTTAACATAATATGATTTTGGGGGGGGTCTAGTTACCTTCCTTGATGTGAAATACCTGCCAACAACCTAAGATGAACTCTGCAGAAAGCAGATATGAATCTCACCTGCCTTTTAACCAACCATCCATGAGAGGACACGTGATGTCTGTGAGTACAAGAAATCCATGAGAGTAGTTAGTTCACTTTGGTTCAAACTAACTCTACAAGTACCAGAAAGAGACTGCACAACCCCCTTAAGAGGTCTATGTCATTGTTGGTTGTGGGAATGACAGGAGTGCAATCTGCAGGTTTGGGTGACCATTGCATCACAGATGTGGTCACCTTTGCACTCTTTGATCTTTCTAGGACCCTTTCCATAGTTTCCCTGTCCTTTATCCTCCCCTGGTCGTTCATTTTGGACAGTGGTTCTCTCTCTTCTACATGCTTCTCGTCTTCATGATTTTCTGCAAACAAATTCAGAAATGTCTAGTCGGACATTGACCCAGCCCTGGAGATCATCACCCTCATATCCTCTGCCTTGAGTCAAGCAAACAGTTAAATATGTCTTTTGTCACCAGAGATCACAGGGAACATGTCGGCAGCCTTCAATAGGTGTTGCTGAAAGAGTCATCTTGGCCCCAGCAGACATGCTGGTCTTTGGGGAGATAGGTGGGATTATACACCAAAACGAGACTGATGGATGGAATCCCTAGGCTCCACAGAGGAAAGCATATTTGGTGCTTTCGAGAAGCCAGGATTCTGGGTGATTCATAGAGGTGGGGGTACCAGAGCCCATTCCTTGATTTCAGCGAAAACTCCAGATATGGAAAGAAAGGGGTATGTTTGTCTCGTTCCTCAGCAGACTGTTAAGCAAGGACAAGGTAGCTCAGAGGTGAGAGAGACCAGAGTCCAGAGCTGAGGAACCATGGTAACAACATCTCCAAAGAGATAGGCAAGACTACCACCCTACTTGGACAGTCATTAATGCTCAGTTCAGGAACTCAATTAGGAAGAAAATTACAGGAGAGATCAGAGGGCCCATCTTTATAGAAGCAGCTCATGGAAACTCCTGTTGTGCACAAGCATCAGTGGTGGTTGGAAGTGTGCTATGATCTCTTCAATCTCCCCACTCTGGTTTACCTGGTGTTCACCACCCTGTGCTTGGCATTGGGTCCCAGGGTGACAGAGATTTGATCTGGGACTTGGAAGGGTGTACAGCGACTTGACCCACCCAATGTCTGTGCTTATAACTGAATCTTAGATTCTGATTCAAACCAGGATGGGTCTCCAAGGCCTGCCATCAAAGAGACATTTCTGTACCTGGACAGAGGTGTGAGCACAAAGAACATGGAGGCTACCTGGCAGACCATTCAGAGCTTGTCTTCTTTACAACAGAGTACTCATGGGCTCCATCCAGACAAGAGCAGATTTCATGTTCATCAGATGGGATGGTGGGACTCTCGGGAGGGAGGCAGGAATCAGACAAGTCATGGCGACTGGAAAGAGTCAAATACTGTTCATCCAAAGAAGCCTGACACGCATAATTCATTTCCTCTTCCTCCTGGAGCTCCCTGCCGAGCCCAGAGGCACAAACATAACAGAATGTTAAACAAGGAAAGACTGGACACCACAACTTCCCAACTGCTTCTGATTGGAAGACTAAGGGAGAGGTCACAGAAGGTAAAGAGGGCACCCCTTGAAATAGGAAGAAGATAGTCCTTCTATGACTGCAACTAAGTGAGGCTGCTGTAGTGAGGGGAGGGAGGGCAGCAGGTGCTCACTGCCCTGTCCAGATAACTAGTTATTCATGAAGGAGACTCAGCTCTACTCTGTGGCACAGTTATCACACAGAGCACACAACAAGAACCACAGGAGTTCCTACAACTCCAAAGAAGTTATGCTTCTGTTCCACTTTTCTTACAGAGGCCCAGTGAGTAAAGGCTCCTGGGGCATTGTGGGCTCCCAGACGTCTTGTGCCTTCTAGGCCTGTTTCTCTCAATACTGTAATACCATATACACACTTTTGTCTAGCTATATGTCATGCTATGAAATCCTCAGCATTAAACAGGCCAAATGTGCAGACAGAAGTTATGCATCTTATCTTAGTTTTCCCCAAACAAGAGAGGACACGTGGTCTCCCTGAGTGCAGGAAATCTCTAAGATTGGTTAGTTTGCCTTGTGTCAAACTGATTCTAGGTTCTTAAACTTGAGAAATTAATACCAAGTGGAAACTAACAGGACAATTCCCAAGCAAACATACAGCATTGTTAAAAGGGGTAGCTCGTCGTAGTCTGATGGGATGAAGTAGGTCTACTGGTACTTTCTAATTTTCCATGGATTTGAGATCTTCAGATGTCACCATTGCTTTCACAACCAGGATTATCAGTTACCTGGGGGCTGTTGGCTTGTCTCTTTCCTCATCCTTCTGATCTTTTATAGGTTCTGCAAATAAATTTGGACAGGGCCAGTCATAATAAAATGTTGCTTCTTGACACATTACCAACCCAGGCGCCTGTTTAAACACAGGGACATAAGTATTCTCAGCGTGAGAACCGGATGGCCTGAGAATATTCCAGGAGGCCTCAGGTTGTGTCTTCTGAAAAGTGACCAGGCTTCCTTTCCTGAGTCATAGGTCAGACTGTCTCTGAATTGGCAGATCACTACAACAAAGTTCTCTTCCCTGAACCTGGGCAAAGAGTTCAACATATTCTTCCAGAGGTCATGAGGAGCTCATCTAGTTCATCTTGGAAAGGCTGTTGCAAGATTCAGCTCTAACTCCATCAGATATGCTGGCTGCTGTTGGTTTGGATGAAGTTATAGACCGAGACTAGACTGATGGATGGAATTTATTCACTCATAAATAGGAAAGAATCTATAGTGCCACCTAGAGAACAGGATTCTTACTATTCAAAGTGGTGGAGGGTCCCAGGGTTCACACCACGCATTCAGGGAAAATTCCAGACACATTCAAGAGGTGTTTATCTTTTGACACTTAGATGGCTCCCTACTGAGGATAAACCAACTTAGAGGAGACAGAGACTGCTGTTTGGAGTGGAGCAGGCATGGTAACGGGAATGACAGAGATTTGGCCTGGGACTCGGAAGAGTGTTGAACTACCTGACCCACCTGATGTGTATGCTTCAAACTGAGTCCTAGATTCTGATTCAAACCAAGTTAAGTCTCCAGGGCCAGACTGAAGACATGACATATCTTGGCCTGGACAGGGACGTGGAGAACATGAATATGGACACTACCTGGGAGACCTGTTGGAGCTTTCTTCTCTTGACGATGGGAGTACTCAGTAGCTGCAACCAGAGCAGAGAAGTCTTCATGCTCCTCAGACAAGAAAACATTGGTGCTGGGAGGCTAGTGTGAACCAGACGGGTACTGGTGACCAGAAGAAGTCATAGGGCCTTCATCCACTGAGCCCATCAAGGCTTCATTCATACTCTCTTTTTCCTGTAGCTCTGTGCTCAGGCTAGGGGAAAAAGGATATGATGAAACCAAGAAGGATTGGATGCCCGAGTCCCAGGTGGTCCTGATTGGTGGTAGAGAGAGTGGTCACAGAAAGTGAGGGACAGTCCCCTCAAAGAGAAGGTAAACAATCCTCCTATGATGAGGGCATGGTCTGGCTGCCCCTGAGGACAGGAGAGAGGGGAGTGGGCACTCAGTGAACTGGCCAGATAGCACTAAATGAGGAAGGAGAATCAACTCTACCTGTATGGTACAGAAATGGCACTCAGCAGACACTGAGAACCAGAACAGTGGCTCAACCATGTGGAGAAATGGTGTTGAAATTTACATACTGCCACCCAAGGAATACACGTTCCTGAAACATTGTAGATGCCCAGAGACATTGTGCCTTCTAGACTTCTTTCTATCAATATTGTGAAGGACATGATTTTTTTGGTCTAATTACATTTCTTGCTGTGAAATGCATGCCAACAAGCTACAGTCCAGCATACCAAAAGCAGATATCCATCTCATCTTAGATTCAGCCACAGAGGAGAGAACAGATGGATTCTGTGACTACAACAAATTCTCCGAGACTGGTTCATTTCCCTTACATAGGAATGACAAGTATCACAAAAGCAAATGAAAACCTCTTTAGAAGGCTATTTCCTGATTGGTTAAGTGAATGGAATAATTCAACCAGCAGTTTCTGTCACTTTTGCCTTAGAAATCTGTGGCTAGTGTTGACCTCTTGGTCTTTATTTGGGAACCATCCTCATATTTTACCCATCCTCTTCCAGGCCCTGATCATTCCTTGTTACCTGGGGTCCATTGATGCTTTTTCTTCTTTGTTCTCCTCCTCTGCATGATTTTCTGCAGACAAGTTCAGAAATTGCAAATTCAGAAATGTCCAGCAAGCACTAAGGAGTTCCATGGCACTCATTGTAAACACAATGGCCTGTCTGGTCATGAAGACATAAATACCCAAGTACAATTTCAGGATACACTGAGAGAATGGTACTGAAAAGTCTCTTATTTGTATTATATGAATGCCCTTTCTTGTTTTTATGGTACATCAGACACAGTTTCCCTGATGGCATGCTGTACGTGAAACTGGAAAAAATGTTAGAAACGTCTTTTGTTCCCAAGATCACCATGTACTTGTCCAGATTCCTTCTGGACTTCTACAATTGTATCATTTGTCTTGACATAAAGCTGGCTCTCAGGCACAGTGGGAACTATCTCTAACAAGACCATAAACAATCCTCTCAGTCTCCCCTCAAGACATCTAATGAGACTTCCAGTTTCTGGTCCAACATGTAAGGATCTTGAAAGTCATCACTCCTGTCCTCACAATAAGAAAATAGCTGAACAAACTGAAAATCAACCACTCTTCTTAGATCCATCAGAGAATGAAGGTCAGAGAGAGAACAACTGCCCCCCAATCTCGAAATACAAACATGCTAGGCAAACAAAGACAATTATAACTTTTTGAAGCAGAAACCTAGGTATGAGCCAGGACCAGAGTAGGAAAACTTAGCATGTAATTGACTAATTGCTGGAGACTCAGTGTGGAGAAGTTTGAGTTAAAAGCATCAGGGGGCCCAGTTGTAGGAGAAATCCAAGAGCTCTGGAGAGTTTTCTGTCCAGGAGCCCTATCACTTTCTCATATTGAAGACTAGAGAAAAATCTCCTTACACCTCTGACAGAGTGGAAGACAAGTAGCTATTGGGAGATACATCCAGAGCATTTTGTTTTTCTTGACAAAGCCTGCTCTCAAAGAAACTATTTGACCAGAGCCTAACCAACTGGGATTTTACCACATCCCAACTGACCTTGGGGAAAGGAAATACCCAATTCCAGAATCTCTAGCCTTCCTTTTCCATCTAGGGGAGTAGGAAGGTGAACCCGGAGAAGCTCTTGTGAAGGCCACAGCCCAGGGACACAGGCTGACTCAAAGACGGAGCCCTGATCATAGGACATTGTGGAATTACTAGACCAGGAATTTAAAACAACAGTGATTAATATGTAACGGCTCCAAAGGGAAAGATGGACAGCATGCAAGTAGATAAGGGTAAGGTAAGTAGAAAGATGGGAACTCTAAGAAAGAATCCAAAGGAGATGGTAGAAATGAAAAACACTGGGACAGAAATGAAGAGTGCCTTAGAGGTTCAACAATACACTGGACACGGCTGAGGAAAGAACCTGCGAGCTTGGAGAAATATCAATACAAATTTCTGAAGCTGAAATGCAAAGAGGAAAAAGAATGAAAAGGAAGAGATTATACGAAAACTCTGGAATAATCACAAAAGGTGTAAATATGTTTAATGTGACTATCAGAAGGAGCACAGAAGAAGTATTTGAAGCAATAATGACTGAGAATTTGCTGAAAACTTTTTCAGTTTTTGCAACCCAAAGTTTTTCTTTTTTTTTTTTTAATATTGGCACATGAGCTAACAACTGTACCCAATCCTCTTTTTTCCTTCTGCCTTTTCTCCCCAAATCCCCCCAGTACATAGTTGTACATTTTAGTGTGGGTTCTTTTAGTTGTGGCATAGGGGATGCTGCCAAATTATGGTTCAATGAGGAGTGCGATGTACACATCCAGCATCTGAATCAGCGAAACCCTGCAATGCCGAGTGGAGCATGTGAACTTAACCACTTGGCCGTGAGGCCAGCACCCATAAAATGAATTATAGACATTGAACCTCAGATCAAGGAAGCTCAGAGAATACCAACGAGGAAAACACAAAAATGTATACACCTAGGAAAGAATATCATATTCAAAATGCAGAAAATCAAAGACAAAAAAAAGTCTAAATGAAGCCAGAGAGAAAAATATCTTACCCAGAGAAGAGTAAGGATAAGAGGTATATCAGACTTCTCTGAAACCATGCAAGCAAGAAGAGAAGGGAGTATAAGAAAAAACCCCACCCACCTCGAATTCTGTATCCAGTAAACTATCCTTCATAAGCAAAAGAAAAAGACAACATTCCTAGACAAATAAGAATTGAACGAATTTGTCACCAGTAGGCCTGCCGTGCAAGAAATGTTGAAAGAAATTCCTCAGAACAAAGGAAAATGATATAAGTCAGAAACTGGGATCTACACAAAGAAAGGAAGAGCATTTTGAAGCGATGAATTCAATTACAATAATTTATTTGTCTTTTTCTTGATTGATCTAACTGATAACAGTTCAAAACCATAGTTGCAACAATGGATTTGGATAAGCAGCTTATGGATAAGTGAAATGAATGACAGTAATGCTCTAACGGATGGGTGGAATGAATTGGGAATACTGTGTTATTAGGCACTTGTGCTAGGCATGAAAAAGAATACTGTTCTTTGAAAGAGCACTTGGATGAATTTTAAATGTACATTGCAAACTCCAGGGCAACCACTGAAAAAGATGAAAGAAACAATAAAAGTACAGTTGATATGCCAAGAGAGGAGAAAAAAACAGAATCACCTAAAATTCTTTTTTACAACCAGAGAAGACAGAAAAAGAGTGGAAGACAAAAAAAAAAAAAAGAAACCGAGAAAAAGAACAATGAATATAAAACAGTAACTAATATGGTAGACATTAATCCAAGTATATCAACAAAAACCTTCTAAGTCAGTGGTCTAAATACAATAATTAAAAGATAGACTGTCGGAGTGGCTGAAAAAATAAGACTTAATTAGATGTTGTGTATAAGAAATCCACTTTAAATAAAAAGACACAGATATAATAAGAGAAACAGGATGGAGAAAGATATAGCATGCTATCACTGATCAAAACAAAGCTGCAGTAGCTCAAACAATTTCAGACAAAGCAGACTTCAGATGAATGAAAGTGATCAGGGATAAAGAAGGGTATTACATAACAAAACAGGGTCCATTCTCTGAAGACATAACAGTTTTTAAGGTGCACCTAGGAGAAGAGCACGAAAATAACTGAGGCAAAAACGGAGACCTACAAGGAGAAGTAGATGAATCCAGCATTACAGTTGGAGATTTCAACACCCTTCTGTCAGAAACAGAGAAATCCAGCAGGCAGAAAATCAGGAAGGATATCCTTCAAATAAACAGCACCATCAATCAACTTGACAGAATCGACACTTCTATAATTTTTCATCAAACAAGGGATGAACACAGATTCTTCTCAGGCTCACATGGAACATTTTCTAGGGCAGGCACTATGCTGAGAATAAATGAGAAAAAAGACAGAGGATACAGATTAGTCATATGATAAATGAAAGAGGGACTGGCACTACTGATCCCATGGACATCAAATGGATAATCAAGGAATGTTAGGAACCAATCTGTGCCCTGAATTTTGAAATGGATCCATTACTTGAAACTCACAATCTACCAACATTCCCGCAAGGAGAAACAGATCATCTGAATAGGCTTATATCTACTACAGAAATTGAAACAACAAAAGAATCTTCCAAAACAGAAAGCACCAGGCCCAGATAAATTCACTGGTGAATTCTATCAAATATTTAAGGAAGAAATTAGGCCAGTTCTCTACAATCTCTTCCGGAAAACAGAAACAGAGGCAATACATCCTAACACATTCTATGAAGTCAGCATTCTCCTAATACAAAAACCAGACGAAGATGTTACGAAAAGGAAAACTACAGGCCAATCAGTCTCACAAACATAGGTGCCAAAATCATCAACAAGATTTGACAAATTGGATCCAAGAAAGTATAAAAAGAATTATACACCACAACCAAGTGAGATTGATTCCAGCTATGAAAAGGGGGTTCAACACTCAGAACTCAATTAATGTGATTCACTGTCCATCAGGAAAGAAACATCTAGTTGGACCACTGTGGCCTGTACCCAGTGCATTTCTCCTCTCTGTTCCCACCCCGCCAGTGCTGGTCCTGTGATGGCCCCAAATGGGACATGGAAACCAGAACTGGTTAAAAAAAAGAATCCTTGTGAGTGGAATCTCTTGGAGCAGCTAAGTGCAGTCAGGGCACACGACTGCCTTACCTGGGCTGAGCTTTCGGGCAAGGGGCTCTGCCAGCCTGCATCCCTCAGCCAGTTGCTCTTGAAAGCCCTGACCCTGGAAGTTGGTAGGGTCATCGTGGGTGAGAAGCTTCCTGAGGTGCTGCTTGAGAAGCACAGAGACTTCTCTGGCTTTCTC